ATTCATATTTGTTAGGACTGCTCAAATATTATGCCCCACAAAAAAAAGAAAAATGCTCCCATTTTACTTTTTTTTTTCTCTTGGAGGCCTAAAAAACCCCCAAATTATGTCAAAACTCTATATTTGGAAGAATAAGATGAGATTTTTGCATAGTATAGATATATTAATACAATTTTCTTTGAATGCATATGACATGGGAAGAAACATCACACTAAACAAATTAAAAACTTCAATGATAAACATTTACGCACATTAAACCTTATTTTTCAAGCAATGCAGGAATTTTAAAAATCCCCAATCGTTGTTTATTGTCATATTGTCTATGAAATTCAGTACTGTTTTAAAGGTGCTTTTAAAGATAGTGAAATAATAGCTCTAGATAAAATACCAATGAATATTCAAATAAGTTAGATTTAACAATGCTCACATGAATCACATGGACAGAAAAAATAGCTCATTCAGTCATAAGTTTGTTAGCAAATGAGTAGCCATGGATTTTGTCACAGAGCTTCTAAAGACAACAATTTTAAGCAGATTTATTTCAAAGATAAAAATATGTGGCAATAAGTAAAACATGTACAGTCAAAGAAAAATTGTATTACAACTTAAATAATGGTATTACTGGGTAAATAATTCTAAAGAGAGCAAAAGTTACTACTTTGCATGAGAAATGAGCTAACAGAATGAATTATATTCAAGCTTCTGAGTGAAGATGTGTTTAATGAAAATTTAACAAGCAATCTCTAGCTAAATGCTTACATTTCATTCTACAAATTACTAAATGTAGAAGAGAGATTTAATTTATTATAAAGGCAATAGAAGAGGACATTTTAAATTAGGTAAAAATCTTGTAAGTGCATTGTTTACTCATCTTTATGATTTAGCACTATTCACTCCATCTATCATGATTTCAAACAGTTAAATGATATTTGGTCTTTCTAGAACACAGGCAAATGAAGACTGTTCTGAGGATAATGATCTATAAATGGGGCAAAACTCATGGAAATATTTACATCAATATTGCTTGCATGTAAGCTCATATTTAAGTTATGAAAACAAGGACATCTATTTTCAAAGTTAATGCCTAAAAATAAAATTTGGATATATGAAAAATGAAGGTTCTCATACCTTGAATTTTTCTTTATGATAATATATCATTTTGGAATAAAGACAGTTTTCCCTTCAATGAGGGCTAATGAGCTAGAGACTGGGCTAACTAAATAGGAATCCTGAAGTAGGCTGTTCTTTCATTATTTTGTAGAACACTCTAAAGTTATATCTCAGTTTTTCTGATTTATTATTTGAGTTGATAACTTATTATCTTAACCAAAAGTGAGTTTATTGTAACAAAATAGATATCCAGAGGTTAAAAATAATGGAGAACATGGGTAAGGAAAGAGCTTTACTTGAGAGAAGATTTTTCACTGAGTTTGATACCTTTCTAATTTGCAACTCCCAGGAAATTATGTTGTTAATCTGTACTTCATTTTCTAATCGAAAGTCGGAACCACTTTTTTATATTACATTTAAGAGCTCTTTCATCCTCATCTGTCAGGTAATTTTTCTGTAATGCCTTTGGATGAATTAGGTATGTATATAATTAGGTATGTCTAAGGATAGTGGAATTCTTCTTTGAGATTTTTCCTTTTAAATGAAACAAAAGTTCTCTTAATGATGTAGAGATCTGGTACTGTAGTTAACCAGTATGGAAACTCAAGTGAGAACCTTTCTTTGTTTTGTTTAGAAAAAAACTACTTTCAATGGTAAAGTGCAAAAATATAACACAACGGAAGTGACTTGGTATCATTAAGATACACAAAACTTTGTATTTGCCAGATTTTTTTTAAAAGATGAAGTTTATATTCTTTTAATAGTGCTTTGCTACCCTTAGTAAATGAAGTTTTCTTCATATTATTTTTTGTTTCATTTTTAAAATTAATTTTGAATCAACACTGATAAACTAAAGGTAGACTTTCAAATCTATTTTAAAATCCTTAAAAAGCAAATGCCAACCAACCAATTTTTGTTTCGAATTAAAAACAAAGAACCCAAGTCTTTTTTTTTTTTTTTAAAGTAGGCTCCATGCCTAACATGGAGCCCAACATGGGGTTTGAACTCACGACCCTGAGATCAAGACCTGAGCTAAGATCAAGAGTCGGACACTTAACCGACTGAGCCACCCAGGTGCCCCCCACGTTTTTCAATTAAGATGTAAACATCCTTTTTTATACATTTATATAAATCCATCACTAATGTGAAATTCAAATCTAATTATTAGTCAGAAGAAAGAGGATTAAAGTTATATTTTGATGACCTGTATCTTCTGGATCTGTTGACCTTTTTTCCCTGGAAATGTCACACCCCCTATAACATACAAAATTTATTTTTATCCTGTGAAATCTTTGAAATATCTGCCCAATATTTTGTTTTTTAAGGAAACAGTAAGAGGAAGAGGGGTATTTATGTCTCTGCAACTTAAGATTTTTCCTTTCCTTTATTTCATTTAGTAATATGTTAGATCTAGGCATGAGTAATCATCTCTTTCCCTTGTTAAATGTATCATGTTTGAAAGAATTTTATGCAGCTATTGCAGGTTCATAATTATTAGTACGTTTACTAAAACCAGTGAATTGGCTTGGGCAAGAGATTACTCCAGAGTTGTTTTGAAAAAAGGCTGATGTTTTCTAATTGGAGGCACCTTTGAGGTAGTGAATCTACACATGAACTGAAAAGTTTGCCACTGGACAGGAAAAATCTGTGATTCCTAAGGAGATTGTCTTAGGAGAATCCTGCAAGCATGCTCCTTTCTGCTAGGGGAAGTGTGGGGTGTTGTATGAGAATTTGAGGTACAAAATAAATTTCTCTCCATAAAGATTGCAAACCCAATCCACACTGGACAAGGCTTTATTAATTTATTTAATATATTTTTGCTCTATGGAAAGAGCTGGCCCTTAGTGACTTGGCAATTACAGCAAGCAAGCATAGCAAATAGGCTCCAACCTCTAAGTTTTAAGCTTAAGAGTTGTTTTGAAGGTAAGGACAGTACAGCCAAACTCATCTTTGCCATAAAAATCTTATGTGTGTAGGAGACACTTCATAGATATTTGTTAAATTGAACTAAATAAAGTTTATACTGTCTTTACTGAACATTATAAAGATTGAAAGTTGCTGAAAATGTTGAGCATAAAAACCGAAGTTAGGTGACTCCAGTGCCTGGTGTCCTAATGAAAGAATAACATCAATTTGACTCAGTGTACTCATCTACCTTTTGGAGTCTCCATATAAAAAGCATCAAAATATTTTCGGATTGAACATGAAGTGATATGAGTCTTTTCTACTAAATGGAATCTGAGCTTGGAAAAGTTAAGGTGATAATATTAAAAGATGTGATATATTTGCTTCTAGTCTCTGTTACATAAACACATGTACCAACTGTGAATTGATAAGTTTTTGATTCTTAAAATACAAAATTTTTAAATTAATAATAAATTTCCTTATCTGAAGCTATAGAAAAGGATCATCATCATCCATTTTGAAATTACTTTCCAAAGCACTTAATTTCCAGTTAATAAAAACCAAAGTTCATTTCCTCTCTGTGAGTGCAAATGCTCCCATTTATGTGGTGGGACCCAAAATACTAATGTATGACTTCTGCAACATTCCCTTCTTCCCTCCATCTTCAGCCTCTTCTAAGGAGAGTAGTAAGATCTTTTTTGGATTTTCTGTGCTTTCTTTTGCTGATAAGGATCAGGGTGGAGTGGTAGAAGCTGAGAAAGGAAAAGAGATGGGATGGAGGAATAAAGAGAGAACAACAGAGGGGGTTGAGGAAGGAAATTTTAGAAAATTTAATGAAGGAACAGAAAAAAGAAACCTAATGTTGGTGAAAATTTTGGGATAATGATTTATAAAGTAGAAATTTGGTAGGGAAAGATATAAAAAATGGATTTTTTAAGCAATGTGGTTGAGATTAATTCTTCACCACCTCTTCAGAAGAACTTCTGTAAAGACTTTGCTTTTCAAGAATTGAATTTCGATTTGTTTTCCCTTTGAGGGCTAAGATAGGTCTTAGAACTGTAGTTAAAAGGCTGTTAAAAAAAAAAAGCTGTTTTATTTGGTGATAGCTGGATAGATTTTAAAGAGTAATGCAGAGTATTAAAGTATACAAATCTTTTTCTATTATGCCATGCGTAACTTTTTTTTTTTTTTAAAGATTTTATCTATTCATTTGAGACACAGAGATACAGAGAGAGAGAGAGAAAACATGAGCAGGGAGAGAGGCAGAGGCAGAGGGAGAAGCAGGCTCCTCGCTGAGCCAGGAGCCCGATGTGGGGCTCGATCCCAGGACCCTGGGATCATGACCTGAGCCGAAGGCAGACGCTTAACCATCTGAGCCACCCAGGCGCCCCAATGGCATGCGTAACTTATTTATCAACGGCTATAAGATAACTCCGTGCAAAAGTGCTGTAATTTTTTATTCCTGTTAAGCCAAGAGCTTTGCAATTTCTGATTGCTTTTTTAATGATTTACATACCTAATCTCTCTTCTTGATTGTGCATTGTTTTTACATTTTTTTCCCAAATATGCCTTATACTATGGGATAATGAGTTGATTATAGACTGGAAACTGGCCACCCAGGAAATAAAATGAAAATGGTTTCTTCAACTGTCTGATCTACAAAATCCAAAAAGCTCCTCAGTAGTATAGATTAGAAAATTTAAAATAAAGCAGGTACATGAATGTATATGCATATTGAAGTTATCAAAAATCATTACTGAAGGCTGTGATTTATGTAAGTTACTAATTTTCTTTCTATAATTAAGTTCTATACTTATGCATATTAAACAGTTTTAATTACTAAATATGTGTACTAGTAAATCTCAAAATATTTCATGTGAAATTTCCAAATAAATTTGGCAATTTAACTGTTAATATTCCTGGATCTTATAACATCCTTGGGATCAGGGATCTGTGATTGGTAGGTGATTAAGAAATAGATATCCTTAATTTTTTAATGTTTCTGTTTAATCATGCACAAATATTTCAGCCATGTGTGAACGCAACATTTCTGACCATGATGAGGTTCAAAATCACACGTAAGATTATCATGCTTACAGTTCTGAAAAATATAAATGTAATTCTAAAGAAATTTTAAAGAGCATTTGGGGTAAGAGATGAAGGGGAAAGGCAGTTTTATAATACTAGAGGAAGATGTTAGGGAAGAAAAAAAGAAATATAAATTAATCAGTTATAGAAAAAGATCTCTGTACTTTTTTAAGAAAAAAATTCTTAACAGTGAACTTTAATCTTGCACGTACTGAATGCCCATCTCATAGAAGTTTAAATACTTTATAGAATTTATTTCATCAAAGTATACAGATGTTGCTGACAGAGTCCTATGGAAGACCATAATTATTCTATTCCTTATTTTTCTAAATACTTTTTTGTTGTATTATAAAAATAAATATATGATTAATAAATTTAATCTGTTTTACATATGTTCTTATTTAATATATATTTGAAGACAGGTAAGTATGGAAATTTTGTATTTCCTCTACATGTATCCAGGTTTGTGTAAATGTATCAAGCAAACAGCAGATAGTGTATGAGTGATGCATGACCATGCATGTGGTGCCTAGAAAATGTTGCTAGCTATTTCTGACACACTTACTTAAAAAGTGATAAATTTCTCACCTTTTTCTTTTTTAGTATACTTTAAGGAATACTTAAAAGACTCGTCCTTCTAGCTCAATACAATTTTTTTTTGAAATGAGAAAAATTAAGCTGTGGTAGACAAAAATCAGGAGATAAATCAGCAAAAGAATGTATGTAGAAGGGTCTAGTCTAATGGGACAATCAACAAATCTTAAAAGAATAAAAGTGAGTCTCCTTTAATACAAGACAGCTGCTATTACCAAAAATTTAGGTAGGAACTGGAGAATGTGGGTTGGGCACCTTTATGTCTTGGATCAAAGAAAAACTGATTTATTAAATAATGATCTTTAGACAACTTGCTCTTTTTAAAATCTCTCTTTCTCAACACATCCTCCCTACTCTTCCAAACCCAGCACAAGAGCCATTCTATACTTTTACAGACGACAGCTGATTTTACAATTGAACTTACTCGTAAAGCAGCACTGTTTTGATAAATTGACTCAGCTTAATTCACTGAAAAATATATTTGCCTTTTTTTGCAGCCTCTGAGACAATTATGACAACACACTTTAGCTGTGTTCACATTTTTATGTTATTGTGTTATGGGCCCAGTTGACACACAATTTATATATATATATATATATGCTCATGTGTTAGGTCTGTTCATATCCTCTTTGGAACATGCAGTGGCATACTTGTCTCTTGAAAGGTTTGGAAAACAGCTCAGCATGTTCATGTAACTTATTTTTTAGGAAGAAAATATAAAGATTCTTAAACTTGCAAAATGCACCAATATCAGACAGTCAGTTAGATGTGTTTATTTTTTGCGGCACCATATAGCTATCATAAAATTGTGTTTAAATTAAATTAATTACTCTTTTTACATTAAATCTAAGGCGATAATCTTAGATCTTTTATTCAAAGCAATTCTACTGAAAATAACTAATTTTCTCAGTGCTTTGATAACTGCTTTTGGAAACTTGTGAAAGTGAACCAAGGGAATAGACATGGTTTTTATTTCATGCTTCACTCAATGAAAGCCTTTAGAACACTGGATCCACTCTTGGTCTTTCTGTGGTGATCTTCATAAGGTAGGAGAGAAATATACTATAGTTAGTAAAACTTAGAAGGGAAAAGCCTCTAAACTACCACTTACTATGAAATATGTAGACACTATAAAGTTAATTTAAAAAAATAGACAAACCCAGCCTTAGAAGATTGAAAAGCACAGTATGTTTCTCCCTTTCCCTCCCTGATAACCCCCTTCTTAGGTGCAGTCACACCTGACAAGAATTCAACAAATGACATCATTGGTTATTTCTGCAAATAATTCTAACAACACCAGGCATCAACAGTTAAATAAAGTAACAATATGATCCATAGAGTTGAATATAATTATCTAAAAATATTCATGTCAGTTTGGAAGCTACTTGATCACAAAACATGAAAGAAAGGTCAACTATTTCTTTTTCATCTACCATCAAACTTTCTAAATACATCATTAAGGAAGCCGCATGTGGGCAAATTCCTTTGGGTTAAATTCATGAACACTTCGCAAATACTGTTGTACAAAGTTACAAATCCATGCTGAGTTATTTACCATTGTGTAGTGATAATCTGCAGTGGGCCGGGGTTTTATTTGCAGGTTATTCAGAGGAGCTATGAGGCATAATTTTAAAATCCAGGTTGGAAGCATAAACAAAAGGTGCGTGCCCATAGTCTGAACAGGAGACTGCAGTTTGTGAAGTGATTTTTGGAGAATCAGAAGAAAGGATAGTAGAGAGGATATCTTTCATTTTAGAAATGCTGAGGCACAAAACACAAGTGCTTGTAGTACTTTCATACATGAAATCCTTTCTCCTGTATGTGCATCATGTGTAAACGTAAAGTCTGTATACTGCTGACTATCCGTCTCTGGTGTCCAATGAGTAGGACTCCAATTCTTCTAATATCACTGTGAGAGAGAGAAAAAGAGATAGAGTTGGGGGTGGGGGGAGAAACATTTAGATCTGGTAAGTATAGGAGATAGGAAATGAAGATTTACATAAGGTAAGTATGTACCATGTCAGATTTGCTTTATGAATTTAACAAAAATTGTATAGCTGGTAAAATGAGAGTTTAAGCAGATATATAAGTGAACATCAAGACTTTGTTACATTTTTCTTCTCCCTAGTGCCAGGTAATATATCAAGTCTACCTCAAATTTAAGGATACAAAGAAAAATTTCAAATTCAGGTACCAACATAATGTTCAGACATTCCATAGACCTAAAGGGTATACAATTTTTAAAAAGACTTATTTATTTTAGAGAGACAGAGAGAGAGAGGAGGGGCAGAGGGAGAGGGAGAGAATCTCAAGCAGACTCCCTGCTGAGCACAGAGCCCGCCGTGGGGCTCAATCTCACAACCCTGAGATCATGACCTGAGCCAAAATCAAGAGCTAGGTGCTTAACCAACTAAGCCACCTAGGTACCCCAGGTATACAATTTAGATAATGATATAACTTTTCAACAGTATTAGCAAAATAATAGAAGGTATAATGTGGACCTATGGTCATTCAATAATCTGAAAAAAATGCCGTTGTATTATGTTGAACTATATGAAATTGCCATCACTATTTCAAAATAATGGGAATTTCATATGATTCAACCAACCAGTTTTAGTATCTACCTTTTAAGCACATGTTGAACATTTTACTGCACCCAGGCAAGGAATAATTCTTGGGACAATGGAAAAATGTCCAACTTTAATAATATAGGGAAGGAGTTCTGAAATTACATGATGATAATGTATGATTACAATTATTACATTTGATGAAAGTAATAGGAATTGATTATGCCAGATTAGTATATGTGAGTCATAAGTAATTTGCCTAGGTAAACTGTGCTGATGTAAAAAGTCTAGGATGTGAATGAGAGTAATATGCATTTCAGAAAGCATTAACAACTTTTTAAAACAGCTATTTGAATTAAACATATTCTTCCAAAGGAAAATAGTTAAAGTGTAATGTCCAATTTCCACTAGAATGATAATCAGAAATGGTGAGGAAAGATGTGGAAATGCCATACTAGCGTTAGGAAATGTAGTTGAATCATGGTGTTCTTGATCCAGTATTTGAATTTGTAACCTCCTGAGTGGACTGCTAAATACAATAATAAACCTAGGACCACTTACTCAATGTTCATTCTTGAAATTAGGTCAAAAGTCGTAAACCCTGCTGCCATGAAGTTATTCTTATATTGCCCCATCTTTATAGAATCCAGCCAGTCACCAACTGTGACAAACAGAGGATATTCCGGAACTTCACAAGGGGATTCTGGCATTCTACAAGAAAAAACCCATGGAGACCATTTAAAAGTCAGATAAAGCAAAAAATACCCAACTTCCTTTTTTTTTTTTCCTTTTACAATATCCTTACCTCTAATGTTTTCATACTCCATTAAAAAAAATCTCTAATTTTTCCATTATATTCAAATCAGCTGCTTTTATCTGGTCAGTTTCACTTATCAGTTTACCTTTTTTCTGCTTTTTGCCACTAATTGGGTTTTATACTAGATATATCTTGAGAAAACCCACATCTTGCAAACTGCTATTTACTTTTTCCTCTTGCATAAAACTGTGTTTTCAAACCTGAGGAATAGCCCAGTCCTAACCCCCAAAGGACGGTAAGTAGCCACAGGCTCTTTACTCTTAGACTTTCTAACCTGCCACTGAATCCTTACCCTTTTGCCTTTTTTATATTTGCTATGATAGTCCCTTCTCCTTTTCACAGAGAATTCATTGGTCAAGCCTCTATTTATTTATTCTCAAACATTCAACAAGAATTTATTATTTATTAAAAAATAATTTCTGCTGTTACAGACAGCCCAAAGCACAGATATTAATATGACATTAAACAAAGCAAAATCAATGCAAGTTTGGGTTAACAAGAAAAAGGAACCCAGCGTTGATGGATCTTAAAGTGAGTGATACAGACATCTGTATTTTTGTTCCTAATATCTAATGCAAAGGGCATTGCAGTTGGGGATATTTTTTGTAGTTTTTTTTTTTTTTTTTGAGAGGGCTGGGGTAGGGGGGAGAGGGGCAGAAGGAAAGAGAGAATCTTAAGCAGATTCCACGCCCAGCACAGAGCATGATGTGGGACTCGATCTCACAACCCTGAGATCATGACCTGAGCTGAAATCAAGAGTCAGACACTTAACCAACTGAGCCACCCAGGAGCCCCATATTTTTGTACTTTTAATATAAAAATAATATAAAGGTATTATTTTGGAAAGGCTAGCAGGTGTGTGTGTATTCATTACAAATACATACATATATATGTATGTGTGTATATGTACATATATATACATATATATACAGAATAGTTTTATGTAAGTTAAAGACAGAATAAACATGGAAGTAACCTTAGAAGTTATAGTAAAATTAACTAAGAATTGTGTATTTAACTGATTCTGGCAATAAATTATATTATTCTCCTTATAGAGATATATGAAAATTGTTAAAAATATTTTATATGGTTTTACAAAATACCTGGTAGTAAAAGTGCTTTTATAAGCATGTTATTAGCCCTCTGGGGTAATAAATACATCATTGAAAAATTATTAGGTCTAGAGTTTATATTAAATAGTAGAGCAGTAACCTTTTTTGTTCAGTATTTGAGTCAAATCTATTTTCTTTTTTTTTTTTTTCAAGATTTTATTTATTTTGACAGAGAGAGATACAGCGAGAGAGGGAACACAAGCAGCGGGAGTGGGAGAGGGAGAAGCAGGCTTCCCGCGGAGCAGGGAGTCCGATGCGGGGCTCGATCCCAGGACCCTGGAATCATGACCCGAGCCGAAGGCAGACGCTTAATGACTGAGCCACCCAGGTGCCCCCAAATCTTTTCTAAGTAATGAAAAATATTCCCATTAGAAGTGAATCATTGAATTATTTTTATTAGAATATTGAAGATTAATCCAAATTTCATTTAATTTGTTTTTAATTTTTTATAAAATTAAAGAATGGAAGAAGCCATAGAGACTTAACTAGATTCATAGTTTTAACATTCATATTTGGAATGCTTCAACATAATAGTATTTACCATTCATATTTGAACTATTTCAGCTTTAACTAGAAACCAATAGTGTATGAAAACATATGATGAAACCACATGAAATAAAAATTCCTCCGTTATGAAGCAGGATGGAGTATGCATGCTATATAACTCTGGTATTGTTCTGTTAAAAACATATGAGAATGGGAGTTAGGCTGTAAGGTTAGTGGATAAGGTAAAACATAAAAATCTCTAATAATCAAAATTACCCATAAAAATCCTTTAAATTACCCTTAAATCACCTGGCCCTGGGTCTTTAGAAACACAAAAGTCAGAGACATTCAGTGGCCATACAACTTGTACACTGCGCAACTCTTGAAGACTCTGAAAGGGACCCCTTGGAATTTTCAGGACAGAGTCCCCACTAAAGGCCTCGAGTTCATGTCTTTGGTTTTTCTTTGATTGCTACATTGACTTCCCTTTTTCTAAACTGGGGTCTAGTTGAATATGGAGATGAAGGTGAAGAGAGATAATGAGGAAAAAATAGTGGTTTTTTTGCTTTTAATATATAATTCAAATTTACATAAATTATATGCATGTATCTTGTGACTACATAGTGGTCCATATTGAGTCTGGTAATCCTTAACAGTGGCTTGAATCCTTTTTACTAGTACTCAATTCTGTTACTATATTTCTAATTTGGGAGGCTGTTAAAAGCTACACGCTCTTTTCTTGTACAATAAATTGCAATGCTATTTTGATTGTGGGCTGATTCATTCAAATTAATCATCAGACTGATTGATGATTTGACCCTAACAAAGATTAGTTATGTCCAAAGGTTGAAAACCTATCATAAATACTTTATTACTGCTATATTTGTTGTTTCCTAGAGATGTTCACATCAGTAAGTATTATAAAATAAGCAAAATCTCACATAAAATACAAAAAAATAAAGGAATCCACTGCAAACAGAGTTAAATAGGATTCTTAATTAGAGCATTTCTCCAAGTCTTCACTGTTCTAATGTACAATGTGAACATACAAGAGGATTAGCAATAGCTTCTACATTATTTTTCTAAATTATCTGAGCAGTTTCTATAAAACAACTCTATGGTCAACTAATCTTCGACAAAGCAGGAAAGAATGTCCAACAGAAAAAAGACAGTTTTTTCAACAAATGGTGTTGGGAAAATTGGACAGCCACATGCAGAAGAATGAAACTGGACCATTTCCTTACACCACACACAAAAATAGACTCCAAATGGTGGAAAGACCTAAATGTTAGACAGGAGTCCATCAAAATCCTAAAGGAGAACACAGGCAGCAACCTCTTTGACCTCAGCCACAGAAACTTCTTCAGAGGAACATCGCCAAAGGCAAGAGAAGCAAGGGCAAAAATGAATTATTGGGACTTGATCAAGATAAAAACCTTTTGCACAGCAAAGGAAACTGTCAAGAAAACCAAAAGACAATGGACAGAATGGCAGAAGATATTTGCAAATGACATATCAGATAAAGGGCTAGTATCTAAAATCTATAAAGAACTTATCAAACTCAACACCCAAAGAACAAAGAATCCAATCAAGAAATGGGCAGAAGACACGAACAGACATTTTTCCAAAGAAGACACCAAATGGCCAATAGACCCATGAAAAAGTGCTCAACATTGCTCGGCATCAGGGAAATCCAAATCAAAACCTCAATGAGATACCACCTAACACCAGTCAGAATTTCTAAAATTAACAAGTCAGGAAATGACAGATGTTGGGAGGGATGCGGAGAAAGGGGAACCCTCCTACACTGTTGGTGGGAATGCAAGCTGGTGCAGCCACTCTGGAAAACAGTATGGAGGTTCCTCAAAAAGTTGAAAATAGAGCTACCATATGACCCAGCAATTGCTCTACTGGGTATTTACCCCAAAAATATAAATGTATTTGAAGGGGCACGTGCACCCCAATGTTTATAGCAGCCATGTCCACAATAGCCAAACTATGGAAAGAGCCAAGATGTCCATCGACAGATGAATGGATAAAGAAGATATATATATATCTGACTTTTGTGTTTCTAAAGACCCAGGGCCAGGTGATTTAAGGGTAATTTAAAGGATTTTTATGGGTAATTTTGATTATTAGAGATTTTTATGTTTTACCTTATCCACTAACCTTACAGCCTAACTCCCATTCTCATATGTTTTTAACAGAACAATACCAGAGTTATATAGCATGCATACTCCATCCTGCTTCATAACGGAGGAATTTTTATTTCATGTGGTTTCATCATATGTTTTCATACACTATTGGTTTCTAGTTAAAGCTGAAATAGTTCAAATATGAATGGTAAATACTATTATGTTGAAGCATTCCAAATATGAATGTTAAAACTATGAATCTAGTTAAGTCTCTATGGCTTCTTCCATTCTTTAATTTTATAAAAAATTAAAAACAAATTAAATGAAATTTGGATTAATCTTCAATATTCTAATAAAAATAATTCAATGATTCACTTCTAATGGGAATATTTTTCATTACTTAGAAAAGATTTGGGGGCACCTGGGTGGCTCAGTCATTAAGCGTCTGCCTTCGGCTCGGGTCATGATTCCAGGGTCCTGGGATCGAGCCCCGCATCGGACTCCCTGCTCCGCGGGAAGCCTGCTTCTCCCTCTCCCACTCCCGCTGCTTGTGTTCCCTCTCTCGCTGTATCTCTCTCTGTCAAAATAAATAAAATCTTGAAAAAAAAAAAAAAGAAAATAGATTTGACTCAAATACTGAACAAAAAAGGTTACTGCTCTACTATTTAATATAAACTCTAGACCTAATAATTTTTCAATGATGTATTTATTACCCCAGAGGGCTAATAACATGCTTATAAAAGCACTTTTACTACCAGGTATTTTGTAAAACCATATAAAATATTTTTAACAATTTTCATATATCTCTATAAGGAGAATAATATAATTTATTGCCAGAATCAGTTAAATACACAATTCTTAGTTAATTTTACTATAACTTCTAAGGTTACTTCCATGTTTATTCTGTCTTTAACTTACATAAAACTATTCTGTATATATATGTATATATATGTACATATACACACATACATATATATGTATGTATTTGTAATGAATACACACACACCTGCTAGCCTTTCCAAAATAATACCTTTATATTATTTTTATATTAAAAGTACAAAAATATGGGGCTCCTGGGTGGCTCAGTTGGTTAAGTGTCTGACTCTTGATTTCAGCTCAGGTCATGATCTCAGGGTTGTGAGATCGAGTCCCACATCATGC